TTTGAAATAAGAAATGGAGATACTTAACTTTCTTCTTTTTCAAGATTTGCTAGGCTATTCTTATATGCATTTCACAATAGAGTTTTATATTTCTGCAAATTTGTTGGCATTTTGGTAGAGATTGCATTTAATGTTTAGATTTTGTAGCATACTATTAGCATCTTAAAAATTTTATCATCCAAGAATATGTGATGTCTTTCCATTAATTTAATGTATTTATATTGCTTAGCAATGATATTTTTAGTGTATAACTTCTTCACTACTATGAGAAAACCTTAAGTTCTTCAATTAAATTAATTCCTAAGTATTTTTTCCACTTTGTTGATGTTACTTGCATTGTTTTCTTAATTTCCTATACAGATTGTCCTATGCTACTATAAATAAATGCAATTGATTATAACAAAAAAAGTCATTAGAGTGCTTGCTGGTATCCAAAACCAGGCAGTGATTTGCTCTTGGTAGAATAAGGATTAAAGTAACAGCACTTGAGGTCCAATCCCCGGCCTGCTGTGCCAGCCCTGCCCCCAGAGTCGCTGAGACAGCAATTGAGACTGGGCGTGTTGACACACACCTGTAATCCCAGCTCTTTGGAGGCTGTAAACAGGGGGATCAGCATGAGTCTGATCTAGTAGTGAGACCCTGAACATCCTGTAGGCCCTTCCCTAAAAAATACAAACAGAAAAAATAGTAACAGCACTTGATTAAAGTTGGAGGCTTTCTCTTTGTCCCTTCTGTCTGCTTTAGTCAGAGTGTTATCACTTCCTAGTGCCTTCTGGCCAGGACCTTATACAAAATGTACTGGATGCTTGTGAAAGCTGCTGCAATCATTATTTAACAGCTCTGTGGGGTGGGAGGAGCTGTATCAGTCAAAGTCAAGTTAATGTCTGTGCCTTTAAGCAACGCAAAGACTTCACTGTGGAATACTGCTTTGCAGCGGAACTACCCATTGCTTATGCTGGTGTGGAAGATAGTACCTGCCCTCAGCTGTGGAAACACAGTGATCATCAAACCCTCCGAGCAAACTCCCCTCATGGATCTTCACGTGGTCTCTTTAATTAAAGAGGTAAGCTTCCTGGTCAGGGGTTCAGGAGAATCCCAGAGCGCTAAGCACTATGGGAAGCCTTCATGAGGGCTGCCATCAGCTACCTTCTGCTCAAAGGTGCCGTCCAACGGTGAGGCTGTGTGAGTAGGGCTGGTAGCTGGGATTTGGGGAGGTCGGTGCTCCAAATGAGGGCTGGAAACCACCCAGAGGCTTGGGGTCAGTCATCTGGGGAATATTGGCTTACTTTTGTCTCAATCCCATGAATGCAAATTCATTGTGAAATTAATATAGCATCTTTTCAGTGCTGTAGTGTTACATTAGTTCCTAATTACTACTTAGGGCTCAGTAGTTTTTGCAAATTTGCTTAAAATTAAAAAATTCTTAGTTTTAATTTCTGAATGCTGGAGTTCACTGTACTAATATGTTTGCTTGTAGTACTGGACCATAGTCTTTCTAAAACCTATTCTCATCCATTTTCTTCCTCTGTCCCTTTTTTTGTGCAAGGTCTTACTACACGGCTGAACTCATAGTCATCCTCCTGCTTTCAGCCTCCCTAATGCTGGGATTATGGGCATACACCACTACACTCAGACTATATATTCCCTTTTCTCTGTTTTCTACTTCAAATGGGCAAAGACTATATGAAACTGATTTTCATCAACTATTGTCATTGTGTGAATACAGATTTTTAAAATCACTCATTATCCTTTGTCCTTCCTATTTTACCAAAACTTAAACAATTTTTTGGCACTAAAATCTTGAAAGTTATGAAATCTACACTCAGACCGTAAAAAATATTTTTCCCATCAAATTAAATATAGTCAAAAAGGATATAAAAATGAAGCAATATATTGTAAATAACATGCAACTTTAAAAGGCTCAACTCAGCTGCAACCTTGGCATCTAAGAGAATTCTTTAACAGGGGTTGACACCAGTTTGTAAAACTTCACCCCAAATAGGATATCTTTGTTTGCCTAACATTTTGCTGATTAATTAATGTCATTGAGTATTTGCAACTCAGCTCCTAAGCCTTAAGCAGTCAACAGGTAGAAAACTGAGAATATGAAGTTGTTTAGTTTTTTAGTTTTGATGATAAGGATAATAAATATATCACTTTCCTTCTGTGTAAACATTTCACCCAACACTTCAAGATGTGCTATTTCTTGAGTTACTATAAAGAAATTTGAGATGGTCCTCATCAGAGCAATGAGCCACTGGCCTCTTGACTTAAGCTGGGGAGAGATCATAGCTTAAGATCAGCTCCATTGGTTTGTTTTTATGTGGGTTAAGAAATGAAATAATGATAAAGAATAGAGATACTTAGCTGAATTGTTTATGATAGAACAACTCACAAGGTCAGTCTGAAGTAGCAGGCTCCATTCCCATCCCTCTTTCTTCCATCATTCTGAAGTCTGCTGTGACAGTTTTGTTTTTCATCCTTCCAGGCAGGTTTTCCCCCTGGAGTGGTAAATATTGTCCCCGGCTATGGGCCCACCGCAGGGGCAGCCATCTCCTCCCACATGGATATTGACAAGGTGGCCTTCACAGGATCGACAGAGGTAATGCTACTCACTCAGGTGGGCCATAAATAAAGGGCACATCTTTAACTACTCTGAGGATATTTATTTAACTATTCTTTGAAGCCAACACTCCTTCAAAACAAAATTTCACTTTAATGATTTGGTCCTGATTCTAGCTTACAATTTGTTTGTGCAACATAATCAGTTGTGGTTTAGGTGAAATGAAATATTGATTACAAACCTCAAAGGACAGAGATGTTCTGAGTGTATTCTTCACCTTTTCTTATGAGAAATAGAGTCAATGTGTGATATGATTTGTGGAGTTTATGATAGAAAGGATAAATTAGACCACAGTTATTTGTGTGAATGAATGCAGTTATACCTCATAGACTATGAAAATTAAGCGGCAGCACCTCACCCTGAGCTCCTTATTTGTGACTTTCCTTCCTATACCTTCTCAAAGGGAGTCAGAAAATCAGTTTCCTTTGAAGTTACCAGTGAGCTCACTGAGAATTTGCCTACTGCATTTGGTCTGGTTGTCTAAAGAGTTTAAAAACAGTAGAAGTCCCTCCTTGAGCACCTCAGCAAGAGGGGTTGGGGAAGGTAGATTCTGAAAGCATAAATGGTTTTTCTATAATAAGCAAATGAAAGTGGAGAAGTCCTACTAAGTCAAGCAAAAATACTCTTGAGCTTTTCTTGTAGGTTATGACTTTGTTAGATGTTCAACACAGAAAAGTAATGTATGCCTCTCACTGGTACACAGCCTAAAGGATAGGGACTGGACACAATTTCATCGTATAAAGCTGCTGACATAAGTACAAAAAAGACAAGGTGCAATAGGGGTAAAATATGTGTAACATGCTATATAGGGATTCATGAGAAACAAAACTGATCTCCAGATGGCTATTACAACATCCTCTAGGATTGGAAGCACAGTTACATGTTAAGGCAAGGTGATTGAGAAATGAAAACGCTGTATAAAGTTGTCCAACCTATAGTAAACAAATCAATAGCCCTTTTACATCATAATACAAAATATAAACAAAAAAGGTTCTGTTACTCATGTCCAGTAACTATATATACTTTATATGTGTCCCAAGACAATTCCTCTTCCCTCAGTGGGGCTCAGGCCAGCAAAATGTTGGACACCCATGAGCCTAAGGTGATATAAAGATATCTTGATTATTTTGTAATTCTAATAAGCCACTCTAATACAGTTTTCAAATCTATTTACAGAAAAAACTGGAGTGGGATCTTAAATTGTATTTTTTGTTGTCTTCTAAAACAAGGTATAACCACTAGGAAGAATGTATGCCATGTGTTAATTATTGCAACTCTCCTACCAATTTGGTTTGAAACTGTCTCATTGCTCTTTGTTTCTCAATAAAATTATGGAAAAAATTTTTTAAAAAATAAAACGAGGTAAATAAAGGTATATTTTTCTTTGCTTTACATAGAGGTAAAGAATAATAATAATAATAATAATAATAATAATAATAATAATAATAAACTGTGTTCTGCCAGTCCTTAACTGAGAAACAGACAGGCCAAGCAGCCTTCAGGATTTTCTGTGCACAGCTGAGGATGTACAGGATGTACCCATAACTGTTAAAATGACTGAAATGGGTGACAAGAAAGACACCGAGAAGAAGGGCTGAGCTCCCCCACCTGGAGTTGTAGCTTTCGGGGGAGTGTACTTATAGGTCACTCCCATGTCCAGTCCATCTGTTGCCCCGCCCCCGCCCCCGCCCGCGCCCCCAGCATCACTGCCTGATAGACTCAGCTCAGCCCTAACCTTCTAAGCATTTCTGGCATGTTTACCTACAGACATGAAACCTTCACACTGAATGACCTTAAATGCCCCTCATCCTGCCTGTGTGCATCAACATTTTCTTCATTACATTGAAAATTAAGCTTCAAGAAACAAGAAAAAAATCTTAATCACGTTAAATGAAACTTCAGTTTTTGAAGATAGTCATTGAAGTATATTGTCAAAGGAAAATTAGACTCTAAAAATATTTCAGTTACTTAATACAGTTTTATTGTAGTCTAACTTCATTAATCTACTTTCAGAGGTTTAATTGAGTCCCCTGAAACTGTTATAGCAGATTAATACTCCATTCCATAAGGCACAGAATCAGTTCAGTAACCACATAAATGTTACTGCATATACTATCTTGTTGTTTAATAAAAATAGGAACTTTTTGTTAAAATCTGACACATGGATTTGGAAATGAAATCCAAGAAAAAAAAAATGATGCAGGGTCATCCAGATAGCTCAGCAGACTAAAGGGCCTGCCTGAGGCAGAGTGCAGCAGCCAGGGGTTCTATCATCCCTGGTGTGCCATGTCAGCCCTGCCCTCAGGGCGCCTTGAGACTGAGGGGTGCCTGTCATCCCAACACTTGAGAAGCTAAAAACTGGAGAATTACTAAAATCTGATCTATGTAGTGAGACATCATACACCCTGTACTAAATATGTAAAAAAAAAAAAAATTAAAGATACAAAATAAAATCATTATATTAAAGAAAAGGGTAAAGATCATTTTAGTCAATCAAGGAGTCAATAAAAATGTATAAGACAGGTTTTATACTTTAGGAAACAAAACAACTGTAGCAAAAATAATCTTAATGGTGCATGATCCACATTGAAGGAGAAGCTTCTGAACACAACATCAGGTAAATATAAAATATAAAACCTGCCTCATGAGCACATAGTAAGTCTTCCGCTTGGCAACGCTGCATTTCAGGTTGGCAGAGTAATCCAAACAGCTGCTGGAAACAGCAACCTGAAGAGGGTCAGCCTGGAGCTGGGAGGGAAGAGCCCCTGCATCGTGTTGGACGTCGACTGTGAGTACAGCCACCTCTGCGGAGCCCCAGCCCGCATCCTTACTGGTATCTGACAGCACCAGACAGGGAGCTTGAACTGCACAAACACGTTTGCTTCAAAATGAAAGGAACTCATCTGAGTCCCTAATTATTCCCAACAATTGTTTCAGTTGTCTAAAATTAGGACACACACACAAATTAATCGTAGGCACACTTTTTTCCTTGTTTGAAATAGATGAATCTAGGAATAATGAACCTCAGACAAAACCCTGAATAATGTAAGTGTTTTGTATTCAGGGGTCTGGCAGGAGGTATTCTCTAAACAATTTTATGTAGTCAGTTATTGGCACTGTACTAAGCATAAAGAGATAACCTCATATATGTTGGGCCAAGACCAACTGAGGAGACAGAAATTTGGCCTTTGGCATCTCCTTTTACTTTGGGTCATACACTCATTAATTGGAATAGGCAGAAGAGAAGTAAATCTGGTTAAATTGTTTTCTTTTTCCCCCATCAAGGATAATTGTTTACATAAATTAAGTCTGTAATTATGATGGTATTCCACTGTATAATGGTTTGGATTAATTCTGATTACATTACCAAATGGAACCTCTAGTTACTCCTAAATAAGAATTTATTATCAGAAATAGGTGTTCATGCTTCTAATTGTTTCTTAAACTTTTGCATTATTAGTGGGAACAAATGGTTCAAGAACTGGCTTTATTGTTTTCATGGTCTTTACAGAAGCTTTTAGAATGCTCAATCTTATTAAACTTTCCACAAATAAGACAATATTCCTAATATTCCAAACCTGACAGTCTACTGTTTCTGCTAAAACTTAAATTATATGCCTAGGTCAAAAATTCGCACCCAAATGATTTAATGTTGAATTAAATCTTCAGCATTTAGAAAATTAACCTGCAAAGAAAACTTCATACTTCTTGTTAAAGATCTATTAGTGAAACAATCTAGGCCTCAGGTGCTACCCAGAAGGAAAAGGTTTAATAGGAATATATTAAACAATGTGATACAATTTCAGGTTTTGAAAATATTTTGCCTAAAATAAGATCTTAAGTGATTCCATGAATGGATTTTTTGGGGGTGTTGCTGTTGCTGTTGTTGATGTTGCTGTTGCACCATTTCTTCAGGATGAAGGAATTTTCTTTGTTTTTAATTGAGAAAGATGTTTAAAATGTTTTAAAATGGTTCAAACTTAAGACAGTGGAAGTTTTAGATTTTTTTTCTTATTTCATTACAACTTGACAACTAAAAAATATTCCTAGAAATCTATTTATTTATGGAGATATTGATACAAAATATTTCACATGGTATTATATCTTGGGAAAAATCTACATTCTTAGTTATGTCCATATTAAGGTTATGATAATAGACACCATTTGTCCAGATTCTACTATTTACCATCTTTATTTTCATGGTAAATAAAGGATCACAAAATTAATTCATGATTTGAATTTTAAGAGATGGGATATATAGTGCCTCATCATTTTCTATATTCAAGAACTATATGTAAATGTTGTATTCTTTAGGTAATATTTCTTGTTTAATGTGATTTTTGTAGTGGATATTGCTG